GGTTTGGTTCTGTCGGGGCAGGGGCAGGGGAGCAGGCAAAGGTAGGGGGGGGTTTTTTTCGTGGGGGGGGGGGGGGCTGCCTACCCACAGACAGTAAGTTCATTACGAGGCAGGGGGCACGTAGGGCCTGTCCCCAACCCCAACTTTGCCGTTGCAGGAAACCGAGTTAGGTCCACTGTTGATGAGTGGTGGGAGCCGAGGGGTATTGAACGTCACTGCTATCGCCGTCAAGCAAGCCCAGCGAGAGAAACAAACAGTGATTTTGACCAGTAGGAGAAATCAAACTCTGATTGGTGGTGTGTGTTTAGTGGGTACCGCTGATATAGGCTACCGGGACCCCTATTTAGCCTCTGGCTTTTGTTGAGCTGCGAGTACCAGGTGCGCACATCTTCGAAATCGTTTTTTTTTTGTCAGACACGCGAGTTTTTGTTTTTCGGTGATTCCTGATGCCGAATGCTCTCATGTCGGAGATACCGGAGATGTTGCAGCTGCTGCGGGGGGGTCGATAGCATCGTTCGAGTGAGGCTTGGTTTGATCTGATGTCGGCCTTTGTTGATATCTCCATGCTGTTTTTTTGTGGCAGATGCCCGTGCTGCTGCTGAGGATGATGATGATGATGATACATGTATCATGACGCTGATGTTGATGGTGGGGCTGTTGTGGTCGTTGTTGTTGTTGCTGCTGCTGCTGCTGCTGCTGTCGAGCAGGAGAGACACCGGCGCATGGTTCGCGACAAGTTCTTGCAGCAGGTCCGGACAGACAAGAGCTGCATCGAGGAGGGGAAGAAGGTGGCTTACTCCTTTTCATTGAAGCAGACTTCCAAGATTATCGGTGAAGTGTTATCTCCAATCACTCGTACCCGCTTTATGGGCACAACAATCAAGGACCCTCCGTGCCTCAAGGACGTTACTGTATTTCGAAGCGTAATGCCCAGCAGAATGTAACCCTACCTCTAATGGGTTCATATTAATAGGGCATTCCGCCGGGTTAAGGACACTGCTTGTGACAAAGGACTGTGAGGGTCCTCAAGGCTGGAACGGCCGAACTAGTGCAACCTTGAAAGACATGGTGTAAGCAACCGTTTGAGCCTGCCTCCCGCTGTGCGTGCATGACTCAAAGGCGTCCTCAAGCTAGAGCCCTATGCGATAGCGGTTGTCCCATCCATGCAACGGTTGTCTGACCGCACCATCGTGTCCTCATGTGCGAAAACGGTTGCCCCAGCCATCCAACGTTTGCCTGTCGCCACCACCGCGTCCTCGCGCAACAACGGTTGTTCCAACCATCTAGCGTTCGTCTGAAGCCGTGTCCTCATGTGGCTATGACCTTTGCCTCACCCATGCAACGTTATGTCTGTTTCAACCACCGCCGTGCGCTTGTTCTCTCACCTTGGCCAAAGGTCTCCTTGTACTGCCCGGCGTTCCTCCGAGCGCCCCTAGAGCTAACGCCGCCGTCCCTGGAGCTCTGGTCCACCGCGGTCCTCTTCGGCTGCGTGTCGGAGCGGGCCATTCTTCGGGCTCTGGACGTGCTGCTGCTCGAGAAGACGCTCGTCGTCTGCGGGAGGGATATTGGCATTGTGAGATCGTTGTGCTAAATAGGGGTAGTGGTGGTGGATGGTGTGCCATTGCCAGTTGGTCTTCGTGTCAGGGGTGGATACATGCGGTTCTGCGGTTCTCTTGCGCATGTCCGGCGATTTTGAGGTAGTTCGGGTTGGCGACCGTGACGAGGCCTATATTAAAAAAAATTTCATGATGTTGACATTGTGAGATCGTCGTGCTAGGGTCAGCGGAGATGGACGGTGTATCACTACAATGTAGCCATTGCTGTTAGTCATCGTCTCAGGGGTAGATACAAGCTGTTGACGGAGCTTTTAGTGTTTTGATTTTTTTGTTGTGGTGTTGGCATTGTGAGATCGTTGTGCTAAGGTTAGTGGGGATGGGTGGTGTGCCATTGCTAGTCGGTCGTGGTGTCAGGGATAGATACATTGTGTTCAGCGTCATCTCTTGCTCATGGGTGTAAGCGTCTGACGCTTTTGAGGTGGTTCGGGGTGACGACCTTGACAGACACTGTTTTTTTCTGTTACATGGTGCTGGGTTTTTGAGTGTTACGGCAGTCCTGGTTTTCATGGTGTCGTTTTTCCACCTGGATGATCATCTCTGATAGATGCATGCTTCTGCGGTGTTGATGGCGTTGCCGTTGTTATTGATGATACTGTCGTCACACTAGAAAGCCGCCCTCAACAGTCTCTGCTCAGTCACCTGACCTTGTAACATTCGTACTGGTCCGACTGACGCCCACGTGTCTACCACGTCTACAGGTGTCGATGGCTGCCACGGCACTACTCTCGCTGCTAGACCCATTCAAGGTTGGTTTGGCTGCGATTTCCCAATTATTTGCCGTAGGTTCGTGATGCGAACAGCTAAAAAGCTATCGTTGTACAGTAGATAGCATAGGACCGACCTCCAAGCCCTGACGCTTTCCGTTCGCTCGTGATGAAATGGGCGTTGTCGACACCAAGCTACTTTCTGTCTTGGTGTTCTCAAGTCTTTGTGCCTTGTCCGTCTTAACCCTAGTCACTGTCTGTTCTCAGTTATTCCTTTGGACACGATGGCTTGTCGGTATAACGGATACAGCAATCACGAAGATGAAGATGGCAGTGACAAGACTGTCGTCCATGATGTCGTCTTAGTGCTGTCTGTACTTATCCGTCGTATTTGTCGTTTCTGTCTTGAGTGCCGTATCTCAGCGGCTGGTCGGACAAGGACACAGCAATCACACACATGTAGATGGCAATGTTGGTCGGTGGTAACCACGAAATTTACGTCGTCGATGCTGTGGTCTCAATGTTGTACTTGCCTGTTTAGCGCCGTTGCTGCCTTGAGCGCGTTCTCTCAGCGGCTGGTCGGGCAAGGATACGGCAGTCACGCACATGTATGTATATGACAGCAGGGTTTTCGTTTTGATCGGGAAGGCGTTTGTGTCGCCACGGTTTCCGTCCTACCCCGAACGCACAAGTTGGTGGCGATCCTTGTCAACACCCCCCTATGATACCTACTCTGCCAGTCTCGGCACGAGTAAAGGAACCCCCGCTGTCAACGTTGCGCGTTTCATTGGTATTCCAGTGGGAAGGCGTGTTCGTTCCCGTGGTGCCGGTGGCGCTAATGGACGTGCTTGACAGTCCGGTGCCGGCGCTCGTCGGGGTTCAGGCGCCCTTGGACCCTCTCAGTTACGCCGCCGACGGTGTGGCGGTGCTCGATCTGGATGCTAACAACGCCTCGGTAAGGGTAACTCTGCCTACAGTGCCGACTACTGTTTAAATTCAGAGCTGTCGTCGGGAATTTTCCCGGCGTCGATGGGGTTTTTTTCGCCTATGTGACCGGTCCAGGTACTGGTGCTTGCCGAAAAAGTGCCGCCGTATTGCAAAACCGCTCCGCTTGTGTCCACCCCAAGAAAACGGTACGGACAGCAACCCTGGTATTTTTGCCGGGACAAGCAACTTGGACTCCCTTTCATCCCTACTTTCTGTTAAATCGATTCCCTTATATTTATCGTAGCGGGCATTGTATTCTTGTGTTTTTTTTGTCATGAGCCAAAGAAAAGGAGGATGCAAAGTGCAGGGTGGCTATATGTCGAGGAGAGTCAAAATTTGTTTTTTGAGTGAACAATGTCAGGTCTGAGATGGGCGAGAGGAGTTAACGCATGCGTCTTTTTGAGTTTAACAACGCTACCGGTAATCATAGGGCTTTGTTCTTTCTGAAAATCTCCTCGGGAAGCAATATTTCAGTTTCGCGAGTACCGGATTTACCCTTGTCTTTATTGCGCCTCTTGTGTACCTAGAATACCTGCATTTGAGTTGACTTGTTTCCACGGAAGTTTGTTTCCTTACCTTGGAAGAGGCACTGGGTAGGTGTGAGAGCGATTATTTCAGTTCCGAGGCTTCAGCAACAAGAGTGACGGGCATGTGAGGCCGGCCTTGATCACGCCGGCTACGTCAAGCTGTTGAGGATTTGCCGAAAGTCGTCCACAATGCATGAACTCGGCAGTATTTTTTCGTACGTGTCTCGTGCCTTCCGTACTTGATGCTTTCAACCAATCGAGTGCCCGTCTATGCGTTTGGTTTTGTCACAGGCTTGATTGTTTGACCATCGGCTTGGCGTGGCTCGACGATACCTCCCTCGGTCGGTGCCCAAACAAAAAACCTCCACAGCAGTTCATGTAGACTTCCTTCGCACTGTCACCGGTGTCACAATTGTTTCTTGTCTCCAATACTTGTATGGTAGAAACAGCCACTTTTGTTTGTGCCAATGCTGTGTTTTCGTTTCATGGATGTCTTTTTTTCCGCCAATGCGTTTTGCTTTTCATGCGTGTCAGGGTGAGCTGTTCATGGCCGGGGCGCACGAGGACTCGACAGTGCCAGAACACCTCGTGACGTCACTCGAACACGCCAACACCCTCAGGGGCAGGCGCCGCTCCTCGGGGGCCCCGGTACGTCGAAAACGCGACGCATTGTGTCTGTCCTGACGTTTCTTTTCATTCCACGATTCCTTGCATGAAAAATGATCCTCGTATTATGGACTACCTAAAATATGTGGCAGGCGTTCCTGCTGTGAAAGGAGTTTGGGGGTTTCTTACGATGTGCCAGCACGATCAATGCCCAGAGGGTTGTGAGCGTTTCGAACATTGTTCCGAATACGAAGGCATTAATAATGGTGCCACACGGCTGACTTTTTTTCACTCGACCGTCCCTCTCTGGAAGCAGGCAGGACGACGCTCACCCGCCAGGAAGCTCGACGCCACCGCTGGAGGCAAGAGTCCAAGGCACAAGAAGAGTTCAACCCACGACCGGGTTGCGACCAGTACCGGCGGTAGTGGGAGCGGCACCAGAGACGTTTCTCCACGAGGGATGAGGGGAGGAGCGCCGTTGTCAGGTTTAAGATCATCGTCGTCTTCGTCGTTGTTGTCTTCGTCTCCCGGACCCAGGTCGCACTTGGTGTTCCAAGCGACCACCTTCATGGCAGGTGAGAAGACCAGAAACGCTGTTCATTTATACCTTTGTGGCAGGTGAGAACAACAGAAACACTCTTTAGTTGTACCTTTATGGCAGGTGAGAACAACAAGAATCGCTTTTTCGTTTTTTTTCCATGCTGCTATACGTGTGAGATAAACGACGAGGGAGTGAATCGCACCAGCCAAGACCAAGGCTTGAGGGTGGCTGCGTTGGTGGACGTATCTGTGAAGATATCTCATCTGTGTATATATGGATTGCGATAGTTCGTTAAAAAATGCTTTTCACCGTTACGAGTGGGTACAAGCGCTGGTAGCAAACAACAGGTTTGTTCGTGGTTTAGGTTGTCCATTTTTTGTGTTTGTCTCTTCGTGTTCCACGGAGAACGCGAGTGGGTTCAGTTCATGTGGTTGTGGTTGTGGTTCACGCAGATGTTGATGTGGTTCTCATGTGGTTCATGTTCAACCCCCCTCTCTATTTCACAGACTAGTCATTATACTCGCGAAGGAGGTCCATTGTGGTTCATGTGGTTGTGGTTCATGTGGGTCACGTGGTTGTGGATCATGTAGTTCACGCTGATGTGGTTGTGGTTCATGTGGTTCACGCGGATGTGGTTGTGGTTCATGTGACTGTGGGTCATGGTCGTGGTTGTGGTGCATGTGGGTCACGTGGTTGTGGATCATGTAGTTCACGCTGATGTGGTTGTGGTTCATGTGGTTGTGATCGTGGTTCGTGTGGTTCACGCGGATGTGGTTGTGGTTCATGTGACTGTGGGTCATGGTCGTGGTTGCGGTGCATGTGGTTGTGGGTCATGTGGGTCACGTGATTGTGGTTGTGGTTCACATGGTTGTGATCGTGGTTCAAGTGGTTCACACGGATGTGGTTGTGTTTCATGTGACTGTGGGTCATGTGGTCACGTGATTGTGGTTGCGGTGCACGTGTTTGTGGTTCATGTGGGTCACGTGATTGTGGTTGTGGTTCATGTGGGTCACGTGTTTGTGGTTCATGTGGTTCACGCGGATGTGGTCGTGGTTCATGTGGTTCACGCGGATGTGGTTGTGGGTCATGTGGTCACGTGATTGTGGTTGCGGTGCACGTGTTTGTGGTTCATGTGGCTCACGTGATTGTGGTTGTGGATCATGTGGCTCACGCGAATGTGTTTTGTGTTTCATATGGTTGTGGTTCACGTGGTTCACGCGGATGTGGGTGTGGTTCATGTGTACAAATCAGGCCTCACCCTGGAGGAGAAGGGGGTCGTCCTTCGCCTGCGATCGTTGGTGAAGACTCATGTCTCTCGGCTGTGTGGCGACCTCGTGGCTCGTGACATGTGGAGAAAGTACGGTGCCTTCAACTCGGTTACGAACAACTTCGACTTCCACCCTGACTGGTGAGAAGGATAAGGATGCAGGCGAGATTCGGCAAACGTCATGGAGAGCATGGAGAGTTGGTGGGGGGAATACGTGTGTAATCATCTAAGACAAAAAAGAAAGTTGAACGTGCGAAAGGTCAGCAATTGGGGACCAAGATATTGTGCCAAACGTTGTCGATCATGCATACGTAGTGATGACCACATGTACATGCGTGCTATCATCTATGACAGAAGGAACACCCGAACGAATCCGAACGATCGGAAACGAAAGGCGAAGAGGTTTTTCCCCTACGTGTTGATAGTATTTTTGCCATACGACAGTACCTTTGTCCGAAGACCGTTTCAATTTGCTTCCAGCCCTACGAAATGTTTCACCATGAACACGCAAACACAGTATTAGCGTGTCGTCGATCCAGTCTCGTTTTGTCGATGCAACCTCCTACCGTCGATGCAGTCTCATGTCGCCGTTGCGGTCTCGTACCGTCTATCACGTCGCCGGCGCATAGCCTGCGTCGCATCTAACTCGACGTACGATCGTGAAAAGCGAAGAGTGATCGCACACGCCCTAGGACAGGCTTTCGAAGCTCGGTCGCTCCACAATCAAGAAGAGCGCATGAAAACCGACCGATACATGCAAGGAATGCTCCTGATGACGATATCTTATATTTCCAAGACTACCCTTGCCGGCATTGGCGTCCTGTTGGTCGTCGTCGAGCATTCGATTCGAGCTGTGAAAGTCAAAACCGGTTGTACGGTAATCTTTTACTACCATGGGGAATTTTTTGCTTACCCTCGTGCTTGTTCGGACACCCTGGTCGTGGGTGGCAGTAGCTCCTCGGCAGGATGTTCAATACCCGGGTGGGGGGTTTCTTTGATGGCTCCAAGTCCGGGAGAAACGTTTCTGAAATGTTCTTGCTTGTTTTTTTCCGGACTTCAAACGGCTTCGTGTTCTCGCATATCCACCGCTTCTTTCGTCTCCAATTTTCCACCCATGTTTTTGCTATCTATGATTTTGCCGATTCACTTACAACCCTTCCCTCCTGGGGGAGGTCATACTCATGCTTTGAATGCCGCAAGGGCGAGGGGGTGATTCTCAAGGCAGGCGTTGCGGATTGGTCCTTGTCACGTATAATAATGGCTCAATTGGTCCGTACGTACACAAATGCGTATATACGTACCCTGTCAACGACCGACCAGGTTCACGGAGCCCCTGGAGGCCCAGCTGAGGTTCCAGGTGTCGGTTTCGCGCACCCAGATGTTCGTCTCCTTCGTCGAGCGCTGCAGGCAGAAAGACATCTCGGAGGTACGTGCGTATAATATGCATATACGGTCAAGTGCTGGGCTAGTACGAACAGAAGAAGGTACTGGGCAGAGAGAACGGAACGGTTTTTAATTTCAAGACAACAACAACAACAACAACAACAACAACAACAACAACAACAACAACAACAACAACAACAACAACAACAACAACAACAACAGTCGAGGGACCTCTAGTGGAGGGGTGTGTCCAGAGAGTATACCTGCGCTGTACCGGGCACTGCACTATTCAGGATCGAGGAATATATTGGTTTTTGGTATACCAGCTCATATCCGTGTCAGCAGATTTTGCCGACACTATACCATGCCAGGCACCTGCACTATTCAACCTGCACTATACTATAGAGGTCCATCGACGGTACCGGTAACACGTTCGTTCTCGTTCTTAGTTGCATGCATGGACACAGATGCTGTGGTTCAGTTGGCGTTCGGAATGTTGATGCGAGACGTGACTCGCGGATACGGCGATGTCATCTATACGGCGTATTTGGTACATCCCCCCTCACCACGTTTCCAACCTCGATACCCCGAGACATCGGATGAGAGAAGAAACCATTGTCGTACTGCTTCAAAATTGGACGTTCAGGTAATAGTACTCCACGTTTGACAGCGTTGTATGCTGGAGACATCCGTTCGACGATGTTCAAGAACACGCTTGTGCCAGGTTGTTGTTGCTGTCTTCACCTTAAGACCCGTTCCGATGTCTCTACCCAGTACCTCCATCTGTCCGTACTGATCTAACCACTAGAAACGGTCGATTCCCGTGGTCGCAGGCTAACTTTCCCTAAAAAGGTACACTCAAGTACAATGGACCCGAAGGGTCCGCAGAGCAATAAAAAATCAGCGCCAGATACATAGGTGGAATGGTCCTGTCGTGCGTCATTTTCTCGTCTTTCCATGCCATGCAGCAGCAGTAGCCTGACACCTCCCTACGCTGCACATAACCTCGAGTCCATTCCACCACCGCTGGCACCTGTTCACACTCGATACGCATCACCCTTAACCCCTCTCTCTCTTGTGTATCGGCCCGAAAGGTCGGGGACGAGGTCGAAGAACACGAACAAGTAACGCCGGAAAATCGGGCACCGTACGCCGAACCCAGCACAGGCGAGAGGAGGGGGAGTCGGGGGTCCATCCCCACCCACTAGGGCTTTCCAGGCGCCCTATGAAAGGGCTGCCTTGGTCGTTTCAGAGGTGGTGTGCGGGAAACGGGGGGATGCATTAGGTGCCCCCCCCCCCCCCCCCCCCCCTGCGGCAGGGGGAGGGGCGAGGAATGAAAGTTTTGGGGGGGGTTTACTAAATTGGGGAAAGTTTTGGAAACACAGGCATATGGGTTAGGGCTTTGGCCGATGTTGTGTGTGTGTGTGTTCGTGCCATTTTTTCTGGCGCCAGAATAAACCTGGGGTGTCTATGTTTGACGGCGTGTCAGCCGGGGTCACAAAGGAGGAAGGTTACGCAATAGCTTTTGTTAAATTTTGACGTCCTACCTTTCGTCTTAGAGTCAGGGTTGTCGCGAGAGTTAGAGTTAGGGTTAGGGTTTGGGATATGATTAACTCGCGGTGATGCACCCCGTTGGCTACGAACAAGACTTCGAGCCTGCACGCATGGGTACGCGCACACGTGTACCAATTGGTTCAGCCTGAAGTCTCGTGACCGTCCTGCGGATGAACGGGAGGTGCGAATCGCGGTCGAGTGTCACGATGTGGGACTTGTGTTCCGCTTTTTCATGAACGGAACAAAGCTGGCTGGTTCAAGGGAAATGTGCTCCCCTCCCAAGAAGTGGGTGTGCGGTGGTTGGATGTAATCCGCCACATGTAGTACATTGTTTTTCATGTCTTCTCTTCGCATGCGTATCTATGTATGCTGCAGATTGTGGTCTTGTTTCGAGCTGAGTGTTTGAAGATGTAAGGGGGGCATGGTGATCTTGTGGTGTATCTTGTCGGTTTCAAACGTTTCGGGAATTTGTTTGTCTTTTATGAGCATTGTTTATTTTGCAACGTTTTCGGAGGAATGTGGTTCTGTGCATGCTTTATATGTCGTTGTGCAGGCACTTTGCCAATGGTGCGTGGTGTATTGTTTGTTGTATGAGGCCTGTATATTCTGGGCGCCAGTCTACAAACCTCACGGTGTATATGTTTGACGCATCAGCCGACGCAGGAGGAAGGTTTTTCAAGCCTCTTTTTGTTGTTTTGAATTTTTTGTTTGTATACATGTGCGCCGCACGATGGGCCAGCGCAGAAAAAGACCGAGCGCTGCCGTAGTCAATGAACAGCTAGCTTTACAGACCTGTTTGTATGAAACATCCTTGGCGCCGGATCAGTTGACTGCAGCTGTATGAACCCCGCCTTCAACATTCCGCAGGAATCGCAGCACACCCATGGGCGGTAGTGTGAAGTTTGTGATGTTCCGATTCGTTTGCTCTTCTGATTACACGTATCACATTTTGTTGCTTGTTTCGGCTCGGCGCCGGGAATGGGTTTTTTTGGCCAAGAGGTACATACCATGTTGTAGCGTGTGTGGTTGGACTACAGTAGAGAGGGGGGGACTCTATGAGGGTGAAGGATGATTCTGTCAGGTGGAGAGGTCGTACGTTTCAGTCCGTAATCGTCGATGACGGCGGTGTACTGTATCGACCGACAGGCACACTAACCCTTAGGTACTTGAGGAAGTGATATGTCCCAATGTCCATGTTGACGTAAAGAAGTAGAAGAGATAGACCTCCCCGTCGTGCATTGTCGTTTAGTATGAAGATCAGTTTTCTTGAGAGAAGGAAAAAATGATATTCGCTCGGGAATTTGTCGATGGTTGTACCTGTGGTGTCTCGTGCTCCGTGTGTGCGTCAGCAACGATTACTCCTGTGCGAATATGTATTACCCCGGAAAAACAGCAATCGGGTATCGAGAGTTGTATTGGACGTAATTACGATCAGACGGAGGTGTGTTGCGTATCACGCTCCACCCTGTCATCCCCGCTTCTGCTCGGTAGACAATAATAATCGTGCTAAAACGTTTCGGGACCCGCGCTATTGTTGGAGAAAAAGCCCTTGACTACAAGTAGGTTAGTGGTTGTTCACGGAAATATTGCCGTTGCGGTGCTGTGACCGTAACCGCGGTGTATCGGAACCACGACGGTACATGTCCAAACGCGCTTGCTTTTCAGCGTGCTGAATGGCCATGAAGCCCAGTGATGGATCCTGAATGTGGGCGTGAAGTTATGATCGTGAGAACGAGCTTGGAAAGGTAGGGAAGGATGTGTGCGATTGAGGGACTATTTTACGCTCCGGCGATAGCCACACTCTCTCGCGGCCTCGGGGAGTGCAGGGACAGAGAGAGAGCGGGCTTCAGAAGAGGCCGGGACATACCCCCGATCAATTCCATCAACCATTACCGCGCCATGCCCCCTGTCTATGCAGATATTTGTTCCATTCGAAAGATGATGTTTTGTATAAATCCTGAGCAAGGAACCTGCATGAATCAACGCCATTTCGGGATCTCTCACTGTAACGTATTCATACATGTATGTATGCGTCCCACTGTCCGCAGTTCGATGCAAAGGAGGCTCTACTTTCCGATGAAGTAGGAGATGGAAGTAATTGATTTTCTCATGAACGACGCACCTGTGGTCGCGTCAGCATCAGACAGGGTTGCTGACGTTAGTATTCTAGCTTTGAAGTAAATCACATTGACCAGTCCATATACCTCTACATATGATGTCCTACAAAGGCAATCTACCTTCTCTTCCCAGGCAAACGAAATAATGTTCCCCAGGTCAAGCTACACGGCAGCTTACAACACCGTTTCTCGACAAATATATATAAAAGAGTGAAGAGAGTCACCCCCATTCGAATCTCACGTATTGTACAACAAGACAGGGGGAATCTTCCAATTTCCAATGAAGTCAAGCGACCAAGTGTGGAGGGATGAAATGAGATCAGAAATCGACACCCGACCTATGTGAGCACCTCTACAACTATAGCACAAATCGTTCCACAAGTTGTGCACAAGAGCCTCGATCGATCGTGTGTCTTTCCCTTGAAATAGATAGATGTCGAACCTGACAGAAATTACAGCTAGGAAGCACCGTTATTAGAGACAACAACACGCTTTGACATCAACATACACCACCACACTGTGGGCGTTACCCTTTGAAGCAGCCATCTATGGCCCCGGGCTCCACACAACTCTTACCAAGCCCATAGGATTGACGGCACACATGACACGAACGTGCACACGATAGCTTCGATAACGAACGAATCTGAGACAGACGAGACCAATATATTAATCACGATGACTTGACCAGCCGAACCCAAATCACGAAGAAGCAGCTCAAGAGCAGAGTACTCACCAACCAAATCAGACAACATCACAGACAACATCACAGTCACCTTCCACGTGCCAAAAAGCACAAGCGCACGCATCGCGGTCCCCCCGAACGAAGTACTAGAATTCCCCCAGAATGAACACGATCGACCCGACGTACCGGGCATTGCTGAGGGTACGATGCCGAAGCAATGTGTTTGTTTGCTTGTTCCCTGCGTGGGGACGGTCGCCATTTCCAACGCATAGGTGTAAGAGTGGCGCCGTCCGTTCTGATAGACCAATGAAAATGATAGAAGAAGCAGACTACCACACTAACGCCGCAGGGCAAGCACATACATACATGCATCGGCACGAGTCCCTGACCCCACGTAACCCGCCCTCCTCAACCGATCCCAGACCTTTGGCTAGAAGACCGAAAAGGGGGTCTAGCCCTTCGAGAGAGCAAACGAGCAGAACGAGCGTAACTCCTTCCCATGAGTATCCCTCCGTTTGCAAGCCTCCATTAGCTTCACCAATTGAACCCCCCGCCAAAGGATTAGACAATCTTGAGAGTCCGGCAGGGGAGAGAAAACACTCAAAACCATGCAGACATCACCAAAAGACCGCATACCCAACCGCGGTTCAAAACGATCCTGTTTTCTGGTCTTCCCTCCCACCCTCCCACCATCACTTTCCCCGCGAGCACACACACACGGTGCAACTCCTCCTCGGATATAAGGAAGCTCTACGTCCTCCTACACTGCAGCCGCATGGGTTGGTACGTACCGTAAACCCTATTCTCGAGCACACGAGATCCTACGGCGCCGTTTCGCCGCCGCCCACATGTTGGATTTGACAAGCGGTCAGAGGCGGAGATATGGCACACCCCCTACCCCGATTTTCAAGGCTCGATTGAAACCAAGATTGTGGCAACACCAAAAATGGTGGTTTTTCGAAACACTTCGTCAAGGACTTTCGCATCGGGCGGTTTCCACACCCCCTTGGTAGTGGAGCAATCGACCTGTGAAACACGGTCTAAGAGGAGTGCAACCTCTCCACCAGACACGAGCAAAATCCGTAGCCGCGCCAAAAACCTGCTAGTGTAGTGACCACCCCCCCCGCAAGCAGCGATATGTGTCTCTAGGTATGTACACGTTTGCTTTTCTATGCTCAACGAAACACAACAGCCGGCACTACTGTGATACCTTCCTGCAAATTTCAAGCCGGCTGACACATGTGTCAAATATTCACCGATTGGCGCCAAAATACATGGGACGGACGAACGAACGAACAAACACATAACACAGTCACAGCTTTGCCTCCGAAAATCTATGGAGACAGCGTTCAAACAGTATTCGCGCTCTCTCTATCTCGCCCTCCTTCCCTTTTTCTACACTTGAGCCAAAAGCCGTACCACATGATACTCCCATGGCAGACAAACACTACACATACAACTGTTATCGTGGTCTCCATCCACCACGTCACGTCACATCACACCACAGCCCTAGACGCGGCCTCTCAACCCTTACCCATATTCTTCCTACGGTAGAGGGGCGCCATCTGCGGCAGCCTGTGCTTGGCGCAGTGCGTGGCCCCCATCCCGCGAACCCTGGGCCCGAACGACGCCGACACGTTGCACCCCTCGAACTTGCACCGCCTGTTGTGCACGTCCTCCATGCCTTCCTCCCTGTGCTTCGAGCACCTGGAACCCCGCTTGTCCCCGGGCATCCCGTAGTACGGCTGGGTGTTGCACCCCTCGAAACCACACCTTCGTGACTTGATGTTCACCATCCCCTCCAGCCGATGCACGGCGCATCGCGTGGCCAGGGTCGTCCCCTCGGCGGCGTGGGTCGGCTGCGTGTTGCAGTCGGGCTCGTCGCAGCGCCGGTTGATCACGTCCACCATCCCGAGGCTCTTGTGCTTGCCGCACATGCTGGGCTTCTTGTCGCCGTCGTTGCCGTAGCTGGGACGGGTGGAGCAACCCGGGTAGCTGCACCGCTGCCCCTTGGTCTTCACCATGCCCGGGAGCTTGTGCGTCGCGCAGTGAGTGCCCCCGCGGGAGCCCTCCACCCCGTAGTACGGCTGCACCGTGCAGCCCGGGAACTCGCAGTGCCGGTGCACGATGTTGACCATCCCCTGCACCTTGTGCTTGGCACACCGCCTCGCCTTCGGTTCCCCGCGTACTCCGTACGTCGGCTGGGTGAGGCAGCCGCTGAACTCGCACCTGCGTGACTTGATGTCCACCATGCCCGGGAGCTTGTGCTGGGCGCACCGCCGCCGCTTCTTCTCCGCCCCGGCCCCGTAGTACGGCAGCGTCGAGCAGCCCGGTTGCTCGCAGCAGGGCGCCTTCACGTCCACCATGCCCTCCACTGCGTGCTCGCTGCACCGGCGCGGACGCCTCTTGCCCTTGAAGTTGAAGGTGGGGTACCTCTGGCAGCCCTCGAAGTCGCAGCAGCGGCTACGGCTGTGCCTGACGATGACCATGCCGATTGCCGCGTGATCCACGCACGCCGTAGGGCGCTTGTCCCCCTCCATGCCGTACGACGGCCGGGTGGCGCAGCCCGAGACGCAGCACTCGTCGTAGTCCTCCAGCGCTAACTCTCTGGGGGTTGCGTTTTCGGAGAGAGAAACGACGTGACAAACAGAGGGGCCGCGCGCGCGTGAGTGGTTACATTGTTAGGATCGAACGTGCTAACCGGCTGACCAATGAAAATACGTCGGTCTCAGCGTATGTGTGTGTTGTTGTTTATTAGCATCGACGGCGCTAACCGGCTGACCAATTACAAGACGTCAGTCTCAGTGCGGCTGAAAATACAAGAGGGCTATGATATAGGACTCCATGAGAGGGGGTGTTGTTGCTGTAGCAAGTGGTATCGTACGCAAGTTCGAGTACCTACTAAGCCTAGGGTACAACATATCCGACTGCTGTATCGTGGGCAACCGCCTGCATTCAACACATCGGACAAAACCTACGCACCCGTTGTTCTTTAAGCCTGCCTGTCTGTCTCCGTCACACACGTACACTCAAACAATCACTCGCCCCTTTTCTGCGTCTCGCGACACTGGCTGCCACGAAACAAACCAACCGGACACATTTATTGTACCCAAGCTTGGGACAAGTTTCGCCTGTATACGTCTATCTGTCTGCCTGTTCGCCTGTCTGTCTGTCTGTCTCTGTCTCTCTCTCTCTCTCTCTCTCTCTCTCTCTCTCTGTGTGTCTCTCTCTCTCACACACTGAAAAAGATTGCACCTTCGATTGTTGACTCTGCCGCAAGAAACCATGACAACATGATGATGTGGGCAATGAGTAAGATCGTCCTCGGCAAGATGGCTGACAATGTGGGAATACCGACTGCAGCAGAAGTACGAGCAGACCCGACGAAGAGTGAGGAGGATTACTTCAAAGGGGCAGCTGGGGCACAGATACACCTGCCCATACGTGAAGGGGGACCCGGGATCACGAGCAGCATCCTCAATAGGGAGTCAGCCTATGTAGCCTGTCAAGCACTGGTGTTCTCCAAATCAGTGCAAGCATCGACAGGATGCACCGCTGGGCAATGTCTGCCCCGGCTTGCACAGCAGGAATGGCCCTGATTGACTCTCTTGAGAAGCTGGAGGAGATCATTACCAAAGACAAGCTTGAAAAAGCTGTTGGTCAGTCATGGGCTAAACTGGTCACATGTGAAGATTAGACTCCCACTCTTCAAGGAGTTTTCATTTTTCTCATGGGAGGCTGGGAAGTTGGGGAGAAGAGATGGAGGCGACAACCCTGACAAGGAAAGGCAAACACCATCGACATGTGGCCAAAATGAATTTGGCCGGCACTTCCAAGTTTTTGGGGCTCAAACTGTCTTGTCGAAACCTCTTCATGCGGCAGTGCGCCATATGGTGGGAGACAGACTTCAAAAAGGTCGGATCACAGGAAACGTCCAGGAAGAGGGCGTTCGTCCGGTTGGAGGAAGTGAAAGGCAAGGGAGTTTTGTCGTGGCTGACAACACAAGGACAGTTGCCAGATGAACGAATGCTGCCTGACTTGTATCAAGAGTCAATCGGTCGTGTGCTGGGGAGCCACGATCAAACTGAATGTGACACAGGCAGACTTTGCGGTGCAGATGCATCGTCGCCGTGCAAGGAACGGTTGAGCCGACACGAAGACCGGTGCCTCGACCTTCCTGCACAACAGGATGGTTCGCGTGATACGTATTAAATACATTATGCAAATGCCACATGCCTATCGCCGTAGAAGACTCTTCCCCATTTACTACAGGCACTGGTAGCGAACAGGGCTCTGCAAGATGGATTTGGTGACCCCCCCAGGATTACACGCAGGAGATAAAGCAGAGGATTCTGCACCAAGTCCATTCTTGTAGACGTAGCAATCATCAACCCATCCGCAGGTCGAAGCATCGACAAGTCGATCCAAAAGCCAGGATCCGCCCTCGAAGATCGAGCTGCAATTAAGGCAAATCACCATGCGGGAATTTTCAACCCGTCTAGATCTACCCTCCTTACTGCTGCTTTTTCAACGTATGGTGGTCTTGGCAAAGGCGCAAATCAACTTATCGTAGCCATCGCCAACCACTTGGCATATAAAGCCTTTTGCAAGGGTAATTTCGACGACGAAACAGTCTTGCTTCGCCTAAAGGCTTGTCATACCAATAGGATTCGGAGACGGTTTACCTTCGACCTGGTTCGTTTTCTATCCGTACGAACTCGTGATGTTTTCAAACGTCATGGACTACTTCTTGATCAGTTCCCACCACGGCCAATAGGTTGGGATCTCGGTAGTAGTGCAGATAGAAACGACCAGGATGGCAATGAGGGGAACTCGTTTGGCAGCGTTGAAGGAGGAGGAGAGGGAACGGGAGGAGGACAAGACAGAGACCAAAGCAGCAGTCGAGGAGGGAATAATGGGGTGGAAGAGAGCAAAAGCTATGAGCCAGATGACCTTCCCCACCACAAACGACGCAGGGCTAGAGAAAAATGTCGAGAAGTTGCTGTGAAAACGACCATGAGAACAATGGAGTTGGAAGGAAGGGGGATGACGGTAAAGCACTCCAAAACGAACTCGAGTGCAAGGTAGCAGCCTTCGGAGACGTGTGCAGTTTTGTTCTGTTGCTACAGTTTCTGTCTTCGATCCGGAGAATAGGTTAGCCTCCCCAATGCCGCCCCTCACGGGGTCCCAGTTATTGGCTTTTACAAGTGTGTTGTGTTTTCAACGGCACTGAGACTGAGGTCTTTTCATTGGTCAGCCGGTTAGCGCGGTCGATGCTAATAATAAACACATACACACACAAACACAAACACACTCACTCCTGTCTGCGCCTCTCCGCCGTCTCAAGCGACTCCGGAGCCCCTCCCGCGTGCATCACGTACGCGGGGTGCTGCAAGAGCCGACCATTCAGATCAATCCCACCGCCACCACCCAAACCCCCCCCTCTCCCCCCCCCCATGACACCCGACCGCGACTTGGGGCTGCGGGCCGAAACACCGGAGCCCCCCGCGCCTCGGCTATCTTGCTGCTGCTGGGGCAGCACCGGCCCCATCCACACCGGGTAGGGCACCTGCCCCACGGCAGCAGGGGCCCCGTGGATGGACGCCGTTGGAGAGGTAGGTGCGCCCTCGCCGGGGCCCCCGGGTGGGTGGGCTACCGCAGGCTGGGCGACGGCGCTCACCCCCGTCTCGTGGTGCTGCTGTTGTTGCCCCTGGAGGGGTAGGACTGCCTCATGCAATGATACGGCGGGGCCACCTGCGGGGGCCCCGGCCGGGCCGACGCGGATCACGGTCCCGCCGAGGAGTCCTGCTCCCGCCTGCTGCTGCTGCTGCTGCTGGGCGAGTTGCTGCTGCTGGACGAGTTGCTGCTGCTGGGCGAGTTGCTGCTGCTGCTGCTGCGGAGCGGAGTGGTGCTGCAGGGCGGCCTGTAGCTGCGGGGGGGGTTGGTGCTGCTGGAGCGGGGGCAGCTGGTGGACCGCCTCCATCGCCGACGTCGCTGCCGAGATCGCCGCCATCTGGAGCGCCTGCTGCGGCAGCAACTGCTGCTGGTGGCCCGCCAGGGGCAACACCGTCTGCTGCGGCCACAGCGCCGCCTGGGGTACACCGGACACCGGGGTCGCACCGTACAAGGCCACCGCCTGACCCGTCGGAGCCGCACCGTACAGAGGCAAGGCGTAGGGTGCCCCGGCTAGGGGTAGCGCTGCCTGGGTTGCTGTTGCTACGCCCGCCATCGGCACAGGTTGGCTTGCGCCTGGCAACGGTGCCGCCGGTGCCTCCGCCTGGGCGACGCTTCCCTCGTTCCCACCCCCCGCAGCAGGGGATACCAGCGTCGTGGACCCCGTCCCCGCAGGGAGGGCCGGGGGCATCAATGCTTGCCCGGTGGCCCCGCCGCCGCTTCCTCCGCCATCGCCATTCTCTACGGACGGCGGCAGCGCCGCCGCCAAGTTCACCTCTGGCGCCGCCGGCGGGGATGGGTACGGGGTGGAATCGGAATACCTGGGCCCATCCGCCTCTTCGACGGGCGCGGCTGCTGCTGCTGCTGCTGCTACTGCTGCTGCTGCTGCTGCTGCTGCTGACGCCGTTGACGCCTGCGGTGTCACCGCTGCGTCCGATGGTGTGTTCCCCCGCATTGCGGCGAGTCCGTGGCCTGCGGGCTCTCGGGTGTCTCCAGGCGCGGCGACGAGGGACTGTGATTGTGGCCGCTCGTGTGTCATCGTCTCTGCGTGGTCTCGCTTCCGGCCGGTTTCAGGCTGCAGCTGCTGCTGCTGCTGCTTGCTGCCGGACGCGGCGTTGAAAAGCAACTGGTGGCAATCCTCGCACCAGATCCCGCCCACCCGCAGGGCGGACAGCTTCACGAACAAGTCGACGTCGCGCAAGGAGCCAAGCCCGTTCAGCTGCTCCTGGGTGATGACAGTCACCTGCTTGTCGCCAGTGCACCCGGCCACAAGCCCGCATGGGCCTACCGCGGGCGTTTCCGACATAGCTCTTTGGCGGGCAGCGCGCGCGGGGGGGGGGGGG